TTGCCTATAAGTTCATATTAGTTTCATGAAGATTCACATTCACAATTATCCTTTCTCTTTTTATCATATAGGTTTGATTTGTAACAAAAAGTAAGTACATGAAGGTAACAAACATTTCATTGCAAATTTTTATTTTTTATTTTCTCTATTTTTGTCTATATAAATTAGTATTTGGTTTATAAATGAAATTTACATGTAACAAAAAAAAAAGTGCATGAAGTTAATAAATATATCATCCTCAAGCCCTTATTTTTCATTTCCTTTATTTTCTATATAAATTCATATTTATTTTCATGAAGATTCACATACAAAGTTATAATTTCTCTTATTCATCATATTTTTTTGTGAATTAACTAACATGTAACAAAAAAAAGATATGAAGGTAAGATATATTTCATTCTAAAGTATTTCTTTTTATTTTTATGTACTTAGACATGCTTTCTTAATATATATTTTTTATATTTGTATTATAATTTATCAAGTAAGTATGATTTAAAAAAAATATCTGTAATTCTTAACAATGTGTTGTCCGTATGCAATTGCTCTTTCCAATAGTTAGTTTTCCAGATTTAATATAGTTTGATTATAATATTTGTTAGATTTCAAGAAATAATTATTATTTAGTATTGTTAGCACTATTGAAAAGATAATATATTAAATATAGTTTATATTTCGTTCTTTCCTTTGACATAATTATTTTTAATTGGTATATGATTTTTTTAATTCAGTTGGTTGCATATAATGAAGAATTTGACATATGGATCAAAACATGATGGCGGATCTCTTTGTAGAAGAAGATGATAGAAGGAAAAAAAAATGAAGCATACTTAGAGATTATTTTTTCATTTTGAACTGTATTAGCAACTTAATTACTTTTGCTAGACTTTTTAAAATTTTGATTTATATAAGTAAATAAGCTAAATGTATTATATTTTCAATGCTAATCATTTGATCCTTTAATATTCTATTTTCTTTTTGTTAGGAAAATTAATATAATTATTTCATTTAACAAAAATAAAAAAATTATGATGATTAGTTTCACTTTTATTATAATTAAAAAAAGTAATTGAAAAATAAAATATTATTTTCATGATGTAATTTTTTTGTATATATAACAATCTGTCACCATTCTTTTTGCTTCGAAATGTATTTATAATTTTTATGTAGTCAGCAATTATTATATTTTCTCTGTTCATTTTTTGTATTTTCACCCCTTATTTTTATTTATTTAATTTACAAATAAAATCAATACATAATTAGTAATACATTTATTTTCTAATAAAATTATACATTTGAATTATTTATAACTCATGTCTCTTCATCTTACTTGTAACGTGTTATATATATATATATATATATTAAATATTATAACTTTTATATGTTTTATTTTTCGTAAGTCTTATAAATATTTAATTAATGTTTAAAAAATTATAATAAGTAAATGTAATAATAAAATTTTAAAAAATCAATTTTGTTTTGACGAGATCAGAGTTTGAACAGAACATTAGTACTGCTACAAAAGATATAGAAAATTATAACATATAAAATATTTCCAACCTAATACAATATATTGTTATTTCAACATACTGTCTCTTATTCTATTTACTTTATTACGGTGAATATTTTGTTTATATATATATATATATATATATATATACACAAAATAAATAAATATATTTTATATGTATAAAAAAAAGTCTATGATATCGCAGACGAGGAAAAATATTAATATTATCTATATATTCGATACTAACCTAAATATTACATATTTCTATTATTATCTTATAAATATTTTATATAATCGCGCAAAACGCGAATAATTTCACTAGTTAATAAATAAAGTTAGAGAATATTCTTGACGCTTTGAAAAATTAAATATTTTTTCCTTTGTCAACGCCAAAGGTAGAGCTGTCAATATGGACTAGCCCACCCCATCCGGACTAACCCATACATGCTTTGACATTTTACGGGGCTGGCCGGGCTAGCCCATTTTTTGTGTGGGCCAAAAAATGGTCGGCCCAGCCCACAAGTACGTGGGCTATAAGCTTGCCGGGCCAGCTCACTTTTTAAAAAATTATATTTTTTTTAGGGAAAAGGGTCAAATATGCCCCTGTACTTTTCGAAAAGGTTTAAATATGCTCCCCGTTTAAAGTTTGGTCCATTTATACCCTCGCCGTCCAATTATTGGTACAAATATGCCCTTATGGGCGTTAATTGGCCACCTCAAAATATCCAACGCATTTTACTTTTCTTTCATTACCCAAATGAATTTTCCACGTAATTTTAATATTACAGCGTGACATTTATATTACAAAAGATAAAGGGTCAAATATGCCCCTAAAAATCCGACCCATTAAACTTACCCATATTTTAAGGTTCAATTATACCCCTTTTATTACCCGTATCCGACCCAAAATTCATATCCCTTTTCCCCCAATTTTATTACCCGTATCCCCCAAAACTTGACAGTGAAGTCCTTTGTGATATCGTGAAGATGTTATTTTTCTGCCATTACCTGGCTATAGTGTACAAGCCATCGTGGTAGAGTCCAGGTAAAAATGGAAGGAGTTCTATATATGGGAAAGCTTGATTCAATTGATCAAGAAAGCAACTCTGGTGAATCTGTCAAGTGTAATTCGTCTCTGAAATTTCATCATGAAATACATCGAGCATCTGTAAGCTTATTTCTTTTCTAGGTAGCTAGAGATTTGGATTTATTCCTCATGTAGTTCTTTGGTATCTGTTTGCCCTTTTCTCTTGGTGCTTCAGTACTGAATGCTGCCATTTTCCAGCAGAGGCACTAATCTGGAGGTTAGGTTAGGCTACATTAATGTAATTGATGGGGGTAATGAGGCTCTCAAGAACCCTAACTTTGAAATGAAGAATGGATATGCTATCCGCGATTTGTGTTCTTGGGGGAAAAGGAAGTTTAGGAAATTAGGGATGGGTTTTAGGGGATACGGGTAATAAAATCGGGGGAAAAGGGATATGGGTTTTGGGTCGGATACGGGTAATAAAAGGGGTATAATTGAACCTTAAAATATGGGTAAGTTTAATGGGTCGAATTTTTAGGGGCATATTTGACCCTTTCTCTTTTGTAATATAAATGTCACGCTGTAATATTAAAATTACGTGGAAAATCCATTTGGGTAATTAAAGAAAAGTAAAATGCGTTGGATATTTTGAGGTGGTCAATTAACGCCCATAAGGGCATATTTGTACCAATAATTGGACGGCGAGGGTATAAATGGACCAAACTTTAAACGGGGGGCATATTTAAACCTTTTCGAAAAGTACAGAGGCATATTTGACCCTTTTCCCTTTTTTTTATAAATATTAAATTAAACTATAAATTATAATTTAAAAATATTATCATAAATATCGACAAAACAATATAACATTATGTTAGGCCTCATTTGTTTGCACTTAATGAGATTTGAATCTTATTCATTCAGATTTGTCTCATTAAGTGTGTTTGTTTTTAAGAACTGGATCTTAATTATTCAGATTCAATTCATTAAGTTCGTTTATTTATTTTCTTATAAGCCTCTTAAAGGGTCTAGATATATCTGAATGAATCAGATCTGTAACACACCTTAACACTATTCAGACTAAAAAATAAGACCGTCCTATCTTAATTCAACTAAATCACGACAACTCATACAAATTATTTTCTTATTTAATTAATATTAGTTACATGCTTGCCATTATAATTTCCTTTATTCAAATTAATTTAATATACATTTTTTACTTTCTAAATTAATTAATATATTTGAATTGATAAGCATTCCATGATATAATATTTAGCATGGTTTTTAAAAAATAAGAAAGTATTAGTTATTTGATCGATAACAATAAAAAATTTCTATCATAGAATAAAATAAAATAAAATATTTTTCTAAACTATATATTTACTACTCTATATAAACTATTTTAAATTGCATTATATTAGATTCTTAAAGTATTTGAGTGCAAAAAATAGTCATATTAATGATGTAACTTAATGTTGAGTTCTTAAAAGATAAATTATATTAAATTGTTACGGTAAAAATGTTCAAAATATTATAATATATGAAAAAAAAAACTATTTTACTAACAAGGTTTTTATAATATTTTATTGATATAATGTTTAATTTCATATGTGCATTCAGATATTGAAAACAAACTGTCCCAATAATTTAGTGTTCAGATTCAGAGACAATATTTTAATATTCAGATGTTTATTCAGATTTACACTTTTAGATCTTAATGCACATCTTAATATTTAAATGTGTATTCAAATTCAAACGTCTTAATCTTAATGGAAACAAATGAGACATTGTCACTACTTGTTAATCAAATTCACAAATAAAATTATTTTTATAATATTTAGGGAAAATGCACAAGTACCCCTATGACCAAAATCCAAAGACACACCTTACTAAGGTCGTATTACCCCCTTGAACTTATTTTTTTTGTAATTTTGTGTACCTTTTTGGCCTACGTGGCATCCAAATATCTCTGACGCGCCTCAATTGCGTGGAGTTACATAGAGTGCCACATAAGACCAAATGTGTATAAAATTAAAAAGAAAAGTTCAGGGGTAATATGACATTAGTTTAATTAAGGTGTGTCTCTGAAATTTTAGTTACAATCTAGGGTACTTATGCATTTTCCTTAGTATTTATTAAGTTGTTTTTCAACTAAAAGTATAAATATGTAAATAAAAATATTAACCTAATTATTTTGATTTGGACTTTCTTTATTTTTAAATATTTTAATATTATATAATATTTTCAAATTAATTTTTATTGGCCAACTGACCGGCCCTACCAATATTTCTCAAGTCCCAAATGAGCAGACTTATTCAGGTCGAACTAAAAAACCATTTCTTTAAATGAGCTTCAAAAATCTTAGCCCAACCTATTAAATTTCGAATTAGATCAGATCGGTCTAACAGGCCTAGCCCATATTGACGGCTCTAGCTAAAGGGGATTGAAGTGGTATTATTTAAAATAAGAGGGCATAACTAAAATTGTGATTATTTATGACAGGCACGCTTAAAGCTTCAACTCTTGCATCATTCTAGTCGAGTCAATTTAGGGATCGCTTCGTATTGGCAATTTAGGGTTCGCTCCATCATCCGAAATGGCAAGCTTTGCTCTCTCTAATCTCCCATTATATCTTTCTTCTATTTAACATATATGTGTTTTTTTGCATATTTTCAGAATTTTTTAACCTAATTAATTGTCGAAACAACAAATTTTATCATCTTTATGATTTCTTGCAGGCTGATTCTCCACGCAAAAGGTACCACTCTGTTTCTTTATAGAACTTTGAGGATTTTCTGTTTATTTGTTGCATCGACTTGATCCGTCTAACTTTCCGTAATTGGTTTTATCTTTATTAGGGTTTTTTTGTCTGTATTTCGCTGATCTATATTTTCTTTATTTGGTTGTTGGCCTTGTGAATGGTGAATACATTGTTTTATTCATCAGGCTAGTTGGGATATCTATGTGGTGTAAAAAAATTGAATGGGGTTTGTTGGATTTTGGGGAGTTCACTTTGATTTGTGTTTTGGAGAGATGTTAATGTGTTAATCTTTTTTAATAGAGAAATGGTAAGGTATGAATCTGTTTTTGGAAGAATTGTTTTTAAGTTTATCATGTAGAATTAGTTTTCCGTTTGTTTTATTGGGGAATGTCACTGAAGCATAAAACATTTCTGAGAATCTCATATTTTGTATATATGGGTAATTCTGTATATAATAAAGTCATTAATCCTATGCCTTACTTATGCAAGGGATAAGGTTCAATTTTTTCTCTCTCTTTGATTTGAAGTAATGTTTTCCAGGGAACATCCTAATGAAGTCTCCCACTGTATGGTCGTCAAAGATCCTCCTACTTATTGATAAAATTGGTCATATGCTAAGTCTTTCTTGAGTTAGAAAGTACCAATCAACCTTTATGGATAAGTTTTTGGCATTTTTTACAAGTAAAATTGTTGAGCATGTTAATGGAGAACACACTAACATAGCCTTAGCGATGCATTTCTGTTTTCTTTTTGCACGCAAATAGATCTCCAACGGATTTTCTTTTAAGCCACTGTCTTTAGTAGTATTAGTTGACATAGAAATTTTATGAGCTACATATACTTGAAAAAGATACCATCATTACTCGAGGAACCATCTTTAAAGACATGTGGTTGGTGTTAATAAACTGGTTCAATGTTGTACTTATTGGACTCCCAGGTATTCCCGCTCTCCTTCACCTTGGGAAGAAAAGTCAAGATCTCGCTCTCGATCCCCAACTAGATCACAGTCAAGGCCAAGAGGAAGATCAAGGTCCAGAAGTCATGGAAGGTATGAGTGGAACTTTAGTTTTACTTCACCTTCTTTATGTTAACAGCTTCGTTTCGGTTTCTCAAAATTTCCTCCATGACTTGATTAGGGCTGAAGATACTAATCCTGGAAACACACTCTATGTGACTGGATTATCTTCAAGGGTCACTCAAAGGGATCTTGAAGAGCATTTCTCAAAGGAGGGAAAGGTTGGTTTCTGGTTTACGTATAAGCAAGTTGTTTTCTGGTTCTGTTTCTGCCATGATTTGGTGCTCATACTGCATACCAACATTCTCTCTCGTTCAAAATAATTTGTGTTGTATCTACTCTTTATAATGGAAATTTTTCATTTATGATGATTATCTTAGAAACATCTAGTTTTCATTTAAGTTTATTGTATGAGCAAAGTCTTGTCAATGCATTTGCCAAGATATTGATGTATTGTGGAATTTTGGCTGGATTCTTTTCTCATTGTTCATACTTTAAAGCTTGCTATTGAAGTTTCTTATACTTTCTTTTGATTAGGTGAAGTCAGCTTTTCTGGTTGTGGAGCCCCGTTCTCGCATCTCTCGTGGTTTTGCTTTCATAACAATGGATAGTCTTGAGGATGCCAATCGCTGCATTAAGCACCTTAATCAGTCCGTCCTTGAAGGCCGGTCCATAACGGTGGAGAAGGTCAGCTATTTATACATTGATTGGTGAACCATTGTTCTGTTGGCTTGCTTTTCTTTTTTCTTGACTTGGAGGTTTTCTGATTATATTCAGAAGACATTACGTCAGCTTTGTTGGCAGCAATCAAAGATGATCAGTTCTTCCATTGCAACATTATATTCACTCAGCTTGACCAAATGGCCCGCTAAAACAGCTTTTCACATGCATCTGATCGACTAAACTTAGCAACTATTTTGCCAAACAACTATACAACCTCAGCAAATACTTCAAACTCTCAACTAATCAAGGGTCATTATCAACAATAGAATCAGGCTTTTATGGTATCTCATCCTGGTGTTGGTTCTATCTCCATCTTTTAGCTGTTATAAGACGTGCGAAAATATTTAAGCTGCTATCCTGTGTGACTAGTGTCATATCCTATTTCTTAGTAATGGACATCGTTGTGTGCTTGTGCCACCTTCAGTTTTGCAGAGGTTTTTCGAGGAGACTTGCTTTTTTTTGGCACAGATTAGTTGAATGTTATATTCTTCCTTTAGGAGTGCATTTGGTGATTCTCTTTTCTTTGGATGTTAGCATCATAGGTTATGATTTCATAGAATTACAAATATTTCTGTTTTTTTTTGTTGTGAAGAGAACACCCGATATTAGCAATTTCATATTCTTCCATTACAAGGAATTCATTCTCTAGAATACATTATCTGGTCGAGATAACCCATTTGTTCTTGATGTAAATCACATATGTTCAGATTTCACATATTGAGATGATCTATTTTGTTTTTCAGTCTCGTAGAAAACGGCCAAGGACTCCAACACCTGGTCATTATCTTGGGCTTCATCAGAGCGCAAGGGGTGATGGTAAGCTTCTGATGCTATGTAAGTTCCTATTCTATTTTTGATTTGTGGAATCTCTAAAGTACTCATTGCTTTGGTCAAAGGTTATCATGGTGATCGGGGTAGGTATCGTGGCCGTGGTGACTATGGGTACCGAAGATCTCCAAGACGTTCTCCATATAGAGGTGGGCGAGATTATTCTCCCAGACACTCTCCATATAGAGGTGGGCGAGATTATTCTCCTAGACGCTCACCTTATGCTGGAAGGTCGAGACGTGCGCGATCCCGGTCATATTCTCCTTATGAAAGGAACTACCCTCGTGGTTATAGATAAGTGGGTTTCGTCCTCAGCTATGGAAACTGCTTTTGTAAGGATCTATAAGTTTGATGTGGACTAGTCTTGATGTTAAAGAGTACTGGTTAATGAATGTATGTCTGGGTTACACCTTGAATGTGGATTATCTGTAATCTTTCTGAAACTTTATGATGTATGTATTCTCTTTCGTTGCTTGTCATTTTGTTGTCTTCATGGTCGTGACATCGTTTACGATATCTGTTGGTTCATTCTTACATGTTGTTTAGCAACTTTCTGGCTCGTGGCTTTATCATTGTCAAGATCCTCTCTTTTCTTGCAACTTGGATATTAGTTTGAAGTGAAAATGTACACTTCACCCAGTAATTTGCTTAATGGTATTTTCTTGAACAAAATGGAGTAGCTGAGTTTATTAGATATTTGTTGATGACTTGATTTTACAAGATATGACGTTCTTGGAGATGTGTCGTGATAAAGTAGCCATGTTCGTTATTACAAGGTGGTCCAACCCCAACATGACATTTGACTCATTCTAGTACAAACACGAGGGCCTACGAGCTTATCAAGTTGTTAAAAGTAGGTTCTTTAGTTAATTAGACATCCAATTATAAAAAAAGAGTAACAAATGGATAAGAATTAAGATGACTAGACACGGAACAAGCTTCCAAATGTCAACAATAATATCCTAGATTTTCTAATGAGCACGTGAAGATATTTTACGAGTTAGTGTAAGTATTATATTTTGGTAATTGTTAATAACAAACGTTGAAAAGAGAATGTGCCTCAATAATCATGAATTGGTATGTGGATACATAGACTATTCACTAGTCTTACATATATGACGTTTTCTTCTTCTTCTTTATACTCATACATATGACCTCACTAGTCTTACATATATGACTTTTTCTTCTTCTTCTTTATACACATACATATGACCTAGTAGTAAGAGCTTTGACTATTTTTGTGCAAAAATTTAAAGGGAGACCCTTGTGAAGTTAAATATTGCTAGGTGAACAGAAGGGTTAGGAAAAATTCTCCAACAAAATACGAGTGTTAGGAGCATGCGATGCACGTTTTGGCGCACTCTTACCTTAAGGCCAACCATTTCCTTCCACGTGTTCTATAACAATTAACAGACAACTACTAAGTAATCATGTTTGATGATTGAATTTAAAGTTTATTTTCAAAAAATAAAGTAATTTAAAATTAAAACTTTAGTGATGGACTAAATGCTACTCCCCCAAAAAAAAAAAGTAGTATCTACCTAAAAAAAAAAAATCATTACAAAATTTTACTTTTGATTTTTCATATATGATGTGTTTAAGATCATGATATTAAAAATATTTTGATAACATAATTTTAGTTTAATATTATAATATTGTTATTCTTATATATTTTATATCAATTTAAATTACAGTACTCTTTTTGAAATGGAAAGAACTTATTCTATATTTAGTATGTGGTATTGTGGTGAACAATGATAGATTGCCAATAACAGGGTAGACCTAAGAGGAACTTATCTTTCTCGACTTTCTTTTTTCCAACACGTTATTTTTTAAATAATAGAAATGAGATAAACGTGAATCTCAATTCATTGCCTAGCACGATTCTTAAAGTATATCGATAAAAAGTTTTACGTTTAATTTGAAACATTAAATTTTAAACTGTTTAGAAATAAAATTTATACTACTATTTTATTTTCTTTTTACTCCATTGAATAAGAATTTCTCTATTTCTTTTATGACATCTCTTTTAATTTTTAAATAGACATATTTAAAATTAATAAATATTTTGATAGTGTGTGTATTTATTTTAATATTAATATAATAAATAAATAGAAATAAAGTTGATAATAAAAAATATCTAGAAATAGTACGTATTTTTGTATTGGGGAAAAGGAATCTCGTCCTCCCTGTGGAAGTGTAGTAGAGTATTTTAAAAGCCACTTTAACATCAACATGCTCCATTCCTTCGCCCAACAACAAATATTTTTGTCTTCTCCACCTAATTTATTTTATCCCTAAATCCCCCCCTTTTTTTTTCCTCCTCTCTCTGTAAACCCACATTGAATTTATTGTCTAACAATGCTCGGCGTTGAGTTAAGGATCTCCACCGTCGCCGGAGTTTTCACCGATCTACCGGAAACAAGTCGCCGGAGTGCCAGCTGGAACTGTAACTCCTCCATTGGAAATATCTCATATCATCTCTCTTCCAGAAATAGGCATTGTAGAAAGTCCAGATTCATGGTAATCTGTAGCAAGTCATCACGCGGAAGCTTTAATCGGAAATCTAATCAGAGTGATGAACCGGGTGATGATTATATTGAAGCTGTCGTTCTCGTTTCAGGTATGGAAAATTACCGTTTTGCCCTTTTCTCCGATATTTTTTTGTTAGAGAAATACTGATGCAGGTAATATATTCTTCATGAACATTACTTTGTTGAAATGTATGAAAAAGATCAGATTTTTCTCTCTATGCTTTTGCTTTTTTAATCAATGTAGCTCAACTGCTATTAGTAAGTGAAAAATGGAAAATTGGTTGCTTAGCTGCTAGCTCCACAGACTTTGAACAAGTTGCTTTCCCAGTAACATTTGATGATCCTGTACGAATTAGTCTAAAAAACCAATGTTATGGAATGGAGGGACCTAAAATCTTTGCTCCGCCTCTCCAAAAAATGTATTATCACACGTGGATCATTCAAAAAGAAACTACTTTTGGAGTATCTGATGCACACATTTTAATCATTTCAATTTGTATAAAAAATGACTTGAGATGGAAAATCATGCGCTCTACAATAATTTGAGAAACAAAATAAGTCAATTGATAATTTATATCTTGAATACTGAATCACAGAATCAGTTGAGTTCCCTATTTGATTCATATGATTCCATTTTGGTTTAGTCAGGTCTATTTCATGTGGTACCAAATGAATATGTATATGTGGATTTCTCTGCTTCCATTATGTAAGTTGTGACATTGGTCCTGGTAGAATTTTCATATTTTAGAAATTTCTACCAAGTCCTTTTCTATCACCTTTTGGAGGTCTGTTCCAGACATGACCAAACTATCACAGGCTCTCTCTCTTTATTCTCTGCCTGTGCTACTTGCATCTTTTTTTATTATTCTTCTCCAATATTCTACGCTTGCACATCTGTCTTATTATCCTTATTCATCCATCTTAATATCCATATGTCAATATTTATTCCGTGGATGTGATGGGACATAGGGGCTCAGCACTCAATCTTAATATAATATTGCTGGTCTAGTACTTATATAAAAATAACCTTTCACTTTGTTAGGCATCTTTTTATTGCATAGCCACTCATTCATCTCAAATACTTAAGTTATGTGTACTTTGAAATCTAATTGCTTATCACATTTTATCTGTAGTCTTTCTACTGTATATTAGTATTTTCTACCCTGCATCTGAGGCTAAGCATGTTTACCAATGCTGCAATGACTATAGAGACTATGAAGCACTACAAAATGCATATGGGTGGATTTCAAGAAGAAACAAGATGGCACTCATCTGCTCAGCTGATTCCCTCTTCTTTTCATCCTAAGGATCGTATTGCTAATGCATCATCTTTAGGGACAGGATTTCTTCGCCGTTTCAAGAATCCAACTATTTTTCTTAAGATTTCCTGTGATGCAGAATATGTCTTACCAATTATTGTTGGTATGTACTTTTAAATTTCTACTTGGACAACTAGCAGTGTCTTGTAAACAGTTATATCATACTGTTTTCATAACTCTTACTGCCTGCTACTTCAGGAGAACATGCTGTCGAAAAACTTATAGATTCATTGCATGAGGAGGAGACTGGGGTAATTTTTTTCAAGATTTTGAGAACGGATTTTCTGACTACTTTTCCTTATCTTTCTCTTAACATTTCTTTGAGATGCTGACGTTGGGCCTGCTGCAGGATTGCCCCGACGAGTTCCTGCTTTTGAGGAATCTATTGTTGAAATCTGGCTATGAAGTATGTCAATACCACTTTTTATCTATTTCATCATATGCATCCTTTCTCAATCTTGATTTTTTAATTATAAAGTAATATCAATCTTGATTTTAGCCATGTTTACTTTTAGCTTCTCTTTTTGAATTTGTTACCACATTCCCTGATATTAGAAACCTTTGGTTTTCAGAAGCATGTCATATATTCAAATGTTCATATTTTTAAGTTTTATATATTGAAATGAAACTTTAGGAGGCGGCCATTAACTCTTTCTGCTTATCTTTTAGCTGCCAGTTCATGATACTAATATGCTTTTACCAAGTATCATGAAAAGTTCTTACTGGTTACTTTTACTTGTAACATGGCAAGTGAGCAGGAGGCGGCTACTCCTCACTTACTTCTACGTGTTTGTAAGATGTAACACTTCCTTTGAGATGTGATCACCTTTAAATTGGGGAAACAGACACAGACACCGCGCCTTTAATTGTTGTTTGAAGTGCTAGTCTTACTTTCTTAATTTGGTGATGTATCATTTCTAGGTTAAAATGGTGAAGATTACAGAAAGAGTGACTAGTACTTATTTTGCCAGAATATTTTTCCACAAGGTATGTTCAAAATACTTTGTTCGTAGATTGAAAATATACTCCTACTTCTGTAATTGCATTTAATCTGAATTTAACATTTTTGATAATACCCAGGCAGGGGAAAAAGATATTATTAGTGTGGATGCTCGTCCCTCCGATGCCATTAATGTTGCCAGAAGATGTAAGGTATTGTTCTTATGGGACTTTGAGATTCAAGTTTGATAATCAATCGCTTCATATAAATTGCTTACCATTGTAGAAAACATTATGTCTCCTGACTGTTTTCCATTTGACCTTTTTCCTAGCATCCTGAGATGAAAAGATTGATCTCTCTTCCTTGAGCCCAGAGTCTATCTGAAACAGCCTCTCTACCTTCCAAGGTAGGGGTAAGGTCGAATACACACGATCTCACTAGACCTACTTGTGAGATTCATAAGGACTTGTGGTAAAGTTTTATGTGTATGATCAACTTCTTTTCAGTTTTAGCTCCTGTTAGAATCAGTCTTATTAATCTCTCTTGAGCTGTAATGCCCCACCTACAAATTTTGACAGCCGTTATCTGTAATTGAGCTTGTTCTGGTTTATGCAGGCACCAATATTTGTGAATAAGCAAATTGTCTTGACTGATGCAACTAGAATAGGTTATGGAATGGACCGATC